GGGAGGGAGGGAGGAAGGAAGGAAGGGAGGGAGGAAGGAAGATGAGGCCCATGGAGGCTAGCTGATGTGTCTGCTTCCACTCACCAGAGTAATCTGGGGGTGTCTGCTGGCTTCCCAGGTGATCTACCTGGATCTCAGAGACAGAGCCCTAAGATGGTGGCCTTCAGGTCCCTGGCCCTCACCCCAGCATGTCTCCCAGGGTCATGGTCCCTCTTCCCTTCATTCTACCAGACACAGTGCCTGGTGCTGATGCTGCAAAGGTGACTAAGCCCCATTTCCTGCCCTCTGGGAAATCACAGTAGGCGAGACAGGCAGGTGAACAGATGGTAACAAGATGAATTAGCAGGTGTTTCAGAAGTGGATCTACAGGCTGCCTTGGGAATGCAGGCAGAGTCACTCACATGCCCCAAGGAGGAATGGGCGGCCTGAACTGAGTCTTACAGGACGAATACGAACTCTTTCTATTGGAAAATGGATAGTGTAAGCAGAAATAACAACGGCAAAGAAGTGGGCGGGACGGAGCCTGGGGAACTGGTCCACTTACAGCCATGTTGTTAGAAGGTGGGTGTGAGGGACGTGCGGGGTACAAGCAAGTGGTGGCCCCAGTGCTGGCTGCTTCCTTCCCCAAGTGTCCCAGGTCCTGGTGACAGCCGTCCCCTAGCGTGAGAGGAAGCCTCACTTCTCCTGCTGATGACACGCCAGCTGGGCTCTGTGACTGTGAAGACATGAACATGTAATAAGAAAAGAGCCCAGCTGGGCAGCGGTGGCGCACGCCTTTAATGCTAGCACTCAGGAGGCAGAGGCAGGTGGATCTCTGTGAGTTCAAGGCCAGCCTGATCTACAGAGCAAGATCCAGGACAGGAACCAAAACTACACAGAGAAACCCTCTCTTGAGGAAGAGAGAGAGAGAGAGAGAGAGAGAGAGAGAGAGAGAGACAGAGACAGAGACAGAGACAGAGACAGAGACAGAGACAGAGACAGAGAGCGCCCTTAACAAAGGGGAGGTCTGTCATCTCGTACCAGCCATGTGAATTCTGGAGACCAGGATTCTTCATCACCAAATAGGAATCCTTGGGTTCCTTCCAGATCCAACATTCAAAAACCCAGGCCTCTCTAAGGTCTCCCTCAGCTCTAGGAGTGAAGCCTGGTGACCCCTCTTTACACACAGTCCTTCCCAGGTCTTGGTGTCCTCAGCAGCCATCTAGACAGTCTCCACCTCTTTCTCCACAGAGACAATGACTATGTTTGAGAATGTCACCCGCGCCCTGGCTAGACAGCTGAACCCTCGAGGGGACCTGACACCCCTAGACAGCCTCATCGACTTCAAACGCTTCCATCCCTTCTGCCTGGTGCTGAGGAAGAGGAAGAGCACGCTATTCTGGGGGGCCCGCTATGTCCGCACCGACTACACTCTCCTGGATGTGCTGGAGCCTGGCAGCTCCCCGTTAGGTCAGCCTCTCGAGCACAGCTGGACTCTAAGGGTTCCCAGGGGGCTAGGGCTAGCCATCTGGACCACAAGGACGACTCTGAAGCCGTCTCTTGCCTGATGTGGTCAGGTGTCACCAAGCCCAAAGTTCTCACTGGGTGCTGAGGCGCCAGTGGGGATGCATCTCAGCTCAGCGCCTGCCTGTCTTTTCCCTCCTGTAGATCCAACAGACTGTGGGAACTTCAGCTTTAAGAACATGCTGGATGCCCGCGTAGAGGGAGACGTGGACGTACCAAAGACGGTGAAGGTAAAGGGGACAGCAGGCCTGTCTCGAAGCAGCACACTGGAGGTCCAGACTCTCAGCGTGGCTCCCAAGGCTCTGGAGAACTTGCACAAGGAGAGGTGAGAGAGGGCGGGGCTGAGGGGTGATGGGATGGGGTTGGGCAGTGCATAGAAGATGCTCTGGACCACCAGTGGAAGGGTAAAACCCTCACCCTGATCTTTGTTCAATGTAGTCCACACAGGGGGTGGGCAAGTGCCCAATGGTGAGGTCGAGCAGGTGCAAGGGGGGTCCTTTGCAACTGTAGGTGCAACCAAGACATTTCCTAGACATTCTTCCCATCCTCTAGCCCCCTCCTGTATCATTCCCCCTATCTATCTATCTGTCTATCTATCTATCTATCTATCTATCTATCTATCTATCTATCTATCTACCTACCTACCTACCTATCTATCTATCTATCTATCTATCTATCTATCTATCTATCTCTCGCTGGCTCACTCGCACTGGAACATTCAGATGTTCATATTTACTTGTGTGTGTGACCCTGGAAAAGTCACTTTTCAGGGAACCTCAGGGGTTTTTATTTTGTTTTGTTTCGCTGTAGAATGTTGGGAATGGAAGATAGTTTCTAAGGTTCCTTCAACCCTAAGATTGTGAAATGTAATGGGAAAGGCAGAGGTCGCTAGTAACTGTTCCTTACAGAGACTGTTCAGAACTCTCTCCCGTAAAGCAAGCTTCATACTGGCTCCATCCATGCACCTAGGGAATGCTGCCCCAGGAGACGAGGGGTGTGGCAGAAAGGTTGTTCATACAAGGCTCTGACATGCATCTGGCTTAACAGGGGACCTGACTTTTAAATAATTAAGTAGTGGTTGAAAGTAGCAGGTAAGGACTGGAGGAGCCGGAAGGAAAGGTTTGAATATTTGCTAAGTCACCTAGTAAACATTTGCAGTGTTCTCACCGAGTGTAAAACATCCTATTATGTGCTGGTGTCCCTAGAATGTCTATGTCCAAGAATCTTGTGGTGTAGGAGGGTGAAAACTACTGTCTAAGAGTAATTATCTAGCTGGGTGGTGGTGGATAATTACCATCTTTAATCCCAGTGCTCAGGAGGCAGAGGCAGGCGAATCTCTGAGTTCAAGGTCAGCCTGGTCTACAGAGTGAACTCCAGGACAGCCAGGGCTACACAGAGAAACCCTGTCTCAAAAAACAAAACAGAAGAGTAATTATCCAATGTGAGATAATAAGTGCATGGGAAGCACTCGGTTAGATTAGTGGCAGGCCAGTGGGGGGCGGCCATCTGGCTGGGGAAGTAAGGCAAACCCTCACAAAGAGGTGGTCCTGGGTTTAGGCTTTGAACGATGAGCAGAAATGAGGCATCAGGAAGAGGGGAAGTGCGTTACAAAGGCGTGCAGGTGAGATATCTCAATCCATGCAGTAACTAGGGGGACAGATGCAAAGGAGGCACAAAAGGAAGGAGAGAAGGTTTTAGGGTGAACCAGAGCAGGTAGGAGCCCAACAAATAGACTCCAGGGAGACCCTGCTGCTCAGATGTGTCTCATGGCGGACCTGACCAGATGAAGAAGTACATTAGACAGGAGACGGGATTAGGAGCAGGAATCTCGGGGAAGACGCTGTCCCACTACCCATCAGAGGTTTAAAATGAGGACCTGAGATGGGAAGTGTGGCTGGAATGCAGGGAGGAATGGACGCAGGGCTTATTGCAAGGGATGCTGGGATGGATTAGACTCAGCCACCGAGTGCAGAGCAATGGTGAGGGTTTTGTTAGAGGTGACTCTGGGTCTTGACTTAGGTTGTGACATTCCAAAGCATTCAAGGTGACAGGCAAACAGGAGGACAGGAGAGAGGTAGTTCTGTGGGGATGGTTGTCAGCTCCTTTTGTGGCACAGCTGAGACTGGTCAAGGGGTAGCTGGGAAAGGGGCTGGAAGCTCAGAGAGAGGTCAGGACCAAGATGAGCATGTGGTGGTCAACAATTACGGATCAAAATAGCAGGAACCGGCTGGGAGGATGAGGAAGCTGGAGAATACTCAGAGAGAGGAGGCATAGAATCAGAATCTCGGGGGCTGGAGAGAGGGCTTAGCAGATAAGAGCGCTTGCTGCTTTTGTAGACGCCCCGAGTTCAGTTCTCAGTCCTCACATTGGGCAGCTCAGGAGCACCTGTAACTCCAGCTCTAGGGGGTCTGATGCCTTCTTCTGGCATACACACACACACACACACACACACACACACACACACACACACACACACACAAAACAAAACAACAACAACAACAAAAAAAAAAACCAACGTCTCAGAGGACAGAAAGTATTAAGGTTCCAAATCAATGGGAAAATGGGAGTCAGAGAGAATGTATATGATTTAGAAACCAGAAAGATATGAGAAGTGGCAGGCAGTTGGAAGCCATGACAGGACAGAGTCACACTGGACAGTTAGGGAGGGCCATCCACTTTAGAGTGTGGCGGCCACTGTGATTCCAGCTGAGGGGCAGAAACAGAAGCCAAATCAGAAGGAAGTAGCAATTAGAAGAAAGTACGCTGGGGTGATGAAGACAGCCAGTATGGCGTATCTTTCGAGATATTTACCAGTGAGGTGAAGGAGACAAACAGGTTGGCAATCTGAGGGGGTGTTCCGGGAACGAACCCGGGTCTCTTCGGGGCAGGGACATGTTTACAGACGCAAGGAAGGGGACGGAGCTAGTGCCGAGGAGGCGCTGGAGATGACAAGAGGTGAGATTAGGAACGGAGCGGAGACGAAGGGCATGGTCCACAGCTGGGAAGTGGAGGTGGGCGCAGGTAAACTGCTTGGACCCACAAGTGTGAAAACCTGAGTTTAATCCCCAGCGCCCGTGGAAAAGCCACACACGTACTGGCATGCCTCTGAGACCCCAGTGTTCTTACCACAAGATAAGGGCTGGTCAGAGACAGGAGAATCCCTGGGAGTGTGAACTGCAGGAAGGAGGACCCGGCTAGCCTGGGATGCACAGACAACAAAAGATCTCATCTTAAACAAGGCGGAAGGTAAAGACAGACACCGGAGTCTGTTACCTGAACCCCATACTGTAGTACATATCCCCGTGTACACACACATCACACATGCGTGCATACATGTGCAGGCGTGCACACACACACACACACACACACACACACACAAACATGAAAAAGGAGTCAGAGGGCCTCAGACACATGAGCAGAGGCCGAAGAGGAGAACCTGCTCCCGAGTGTGGGAGGAGAGGAGGAAGTGACCGTGAGGCCTCAGCCCAAGCCAGGTGCCCAGCCTCCGGCTGTTTGCCCAGGTTTATCTTGCACCTTGGGAGGTAGTTGGCGTCATCTCTGTTTTATAGATGAGGCACCTCGGACTCAAAGCAGATGCCCTGCCAGGAAGCCGGAGGTCTGCGTTTGCACTGAGGTCTGAGCGGAGCCCGCATTCCTTCCCTGGCACCTTGCTGTCTAGATGCTAGAGTTGACAGATTAAAAAGTAGACACGGCGGGGCACGGTGACTCGCGCCTTTAGTCCCAGCGCTTGGGAGGCAGGGCAGGTAAATCTCTGTGAGTTCGAGGCCAGCTCAGTCCACACAGAGGGCTCCAGGCCAGCCAGGGCTGTATAGTGAGACCTTGTCTCAAAAATCAAATAAGTATAAATACAAAGCACCGACATTGGCCCTGGTGAGGAGACGCTGAGTGATGTCCTTATGCTTTTCCTGCCTCAGGAAGCTGGCAGCAGATCACCCGTTCCTGAAGGAGATGCGAGATCGTGGGGAGAACCTGTACGTGGTGATGGAGGTGGTGGAGACCGTGCAGGAGGTCACTCTGGAGAGAGCTGGCAAGGCAGAAGGCTGCTTCTCGCTCCCGTTCTTTGCCCCACTGGGACTACAGGTTTGCTTCACACACACACACACACACACACACACACACACACACACACACACACACACACACGCTCCATTAACTCTGAACGGTGCCTACTCAGGATAGATGACCTAAAAAAAATTATCCAAAGCCAAGTTGGCCACACACCCTCTCCCCTGAGTAGTGGTATCAAGCAGGGCGGGTCCCCGTTCTGGATACCACTGACAATATGGAGCAGGCTAAGTGCTGCTGAGTTTATCTTCGATCCCCCCAACCCTTCCCCTGCCAAAGCTGAAGAGCAGAGTTCCTGCCTGGTATGGTGGTGCACACCAGTAATCCAAGCACTCTGAAGGCAGAGGCCAGAGGGTCACAGGTTCAAGGTCAGTCTGGGCTATGTGGTGAGACCCTGAGGTGGGGGTAGTTTCTTGCTTTCAGAAAGTCCTTACGTATAGATGAGACACACAGTTAAAACCCGGAGGATGAAGCCGGGCAGTGGTGGCGCACGCCTTTAATCCCAGCACTCGGGAGGCAGAGCCAGGCTGATCGCTGTGAGTTCGAGGCCAGCTTGGGCTACCAAGTGAGCTCCAGGAAAGGCGCAAAACTACGCAGAGAAACCCTGTCTTGAAAAACCAAAAAAAAAAAAAAAAAAAAAAAACCCGGAGGATGTAGGCTTGGAAAATGCAGTAGAAGTAAATGCATCTCTTATATCTGTACATACATCTAGTGAGTGTATTCATGAGGGATGGGATGGGACTGGGATCCAAGGGAGGAGTTGGCCATGGAAAACTTCCTGGATGAGATATGAATGGGGCAGTTGGTGTAGAGGAAGAGGAAGCAGGTCAGAAGAAAGCTGAGAGGTGAGGGAGGATGATACACAGGCAGTTGTGCCCAGTTCCCTCCACACGTCGAATCCAGAAGCAGACATAGCACGGTAGATAGAGGGTGAGCCCTAGAAACGCGTGGGAAGGCTTCAAGTCCAGACCACAGAGAAAGACAGCTGGAGACCCTAGCAGAGGCCTTCCAACCTCTTGTCTCCTCAAAGGCTCTCGGCCCCGGCTCTGCACCTGCCTCCTGCCCCTACTCTTCATGTCTCCTACGTAAGATCGCAGAGGACTCACAGACTCTCCTTGTGTAATCCTAGGGATCCGTGAACCACAAGGAGGCTGTAACCATCCCCAAGGGCTGTGTCCTGGCCTTTCGAGTGAGACAGCTGATGGTCAACGGCAAAGATGAGTGGGGTGAGCAGAGACCAGCATACTCTCCCCTCAAGGAAAAGGTTGCCTGCATCCGTGCAGAGGCATCCCGGTCCTCTCTTGCAGTGATGGGGGCGGGGCTGGGGGAGGCAGCATATTGTATTGCCCATTGCTGGAGACAGAGCAGAGGCTGCTCTAGAAAAGGAGGGGACGAACCTCTGAGTTCCTCTGACTCTCCGGGAGTGATACAGAGACCAAACCAGTGCAGCCTCTGACCTCAGGAAGCCCGAGGAGGAGACAGATCCTGACACCAGTACTGGATTTCAGGGGAGAAAACGCTACTGTAGGCGAGAACATACAACTTCCAGCAGTAAAGGTTGGGTAGAGAACTAGATGGGGCATTTGAGGGGCAGAATCTAGTCCTAAGCAGAACCCTTGGGCTTGAGGCTGAAGGAGGGATGTGGCAGCCGGTGTGACCTCCTGGGTGCTTTCTCTTGTCCATTACAGATATCCCACACATCTGCAATGACAGCATGCAGACCTTCCCTCCAGGAGGTAGGTGCGCGCCGCTTACAGGCCTCCCACGTCTCTTGCTCCATGTTATCTGCTAAAATCTCCCAGCCTCTAACAGCCTCAGCTACTGTCTGCTCTTGTTTCCTGGGTCCTCAGACAGATATATAAACATAAATCCTGCCCCAAAGGGACAAAGAAACAGAAGCCAGAGGCACAATCAGAAACAGAGATTTGGAGACAAGGTGTCCCAAGGTTGTACGGATGGGTGTGCTAACAGAGTCTCCGTGTTTTCATAACGAGGCAGTGAGGCTATCTTGGCAATGGCTTTAGCGAAAGGCAGCCAAGAGTTGGTCCTGACAGATGTGCTCTGTTTGTGTTTTCAGAAAAGCCAGGGGAGGAGAAGTTCATCCGTAAGTGTTCCTTTCGTTTTACAACTTTCTTGACTCAAGTTCAAAACTCTCATTTCCCTCCTCCGTGGGACTGACCAGGAAGTTGGCGGGACAGGTCTTAGCAAGCAACGGTCCCTCAACTGCAGCAGAACTTCCAATAGGAAGTTAGGAAAGCCGTGGAAGGGGGAGATCTGTGGACAAGATGCGCAGGAGCTCGGCCGCCTCAGACCTTTGTTGTCAAGGGCCTCAGTAGCTGCAACCTGTTCCACACGTATCTGCTGTCCAGTAACTAGGGCAGGAGGCGCTGACTCACTCAGCTGCTGGGTGACACCAACTTGGTCGGAGTGCCCTCGTCACACTGTATTAGCTCTTCTGCTCCGTCCCCAGGAATGGGGCAAGAGGACTCTGGAGACAGCTGGGAGCTCGGGGTGGGGGTGGGGGGTGGGGGGGTAGAGACTCATTGCCTAGGGATGGCTGCCATCTGAAGGATCCTGTTCTGACCTGCCTGTTTACTTCTTATTTTCTCAGTTATCCAGGCATCTGATGTTGGTAAGGAGTTTTGTGAATGCTTTCGAGACTTTGCCACACAGGTAGGGGGAGGAGCATTGGAAGGAAAAAGGCTGAGTCCCAGGTCCTGGGATTAAAGCCGTTTCCAGGAAGCCGCTCTCTCCAACACAGACTGGACATACTTTAGGGTGCCAGGCCTCTGCCTGTCTCTAAGTTGTCAAAGGCCTCATTTCCACAAACTCAAAAAAAGGGGAAATAGTGTTCCCCTAAACGACTAGCGGAGTGGTTGAATACAGGAGTCACCTGTGCGCTGGGACAGGATGAAGCCTGGGGGTGCGGGGCAGGGTCTCAGGAATGGAGGTGTGATGAACTGTCCTGTCAGTTGACTGCGTGGGGTCTAGTCCACCTCCTTGCTCCATCCTTCATGACCCGAGGCTTTAGCGTAACTTCATAACCACACGCCTTGGTCAAGAGGAAAAGTCATAGTCAAGCTGGAAGCAGGGTACTGGGTCCTGAGGGAGGTGTGACAGGGCCTACGGAGAGGATGTACTGGGTGGGAGGGGCCTGGTGAAGGGGCGTCTGCGGCATTGACTGTGCCCCTAGGGGAGATGCATGAAGATTTCAAGACACTAAAAGAAGAGGTTCAGAGAGAGACTCGAGAAGTGGAGAAGTTGAGTCCGGTGGGACAGAGCTCCCTGCTCACCTCCCTCAGCAATCTCCTGGGGAAGAAAAAAGAACTCCAAGACCTCGAACAGACGGTGAGGTGCCGTGCGGGAAACGGGAAGCGTGGGAGAAAGTACGAGAGGGTGGTGGCGGGCCCTTGCGGATGGGGAGGGGAGCCGACAGTGTTACAGAGGCTATGGAGTCCATGGCAGACACTGTCCCAAGGCTGGACAAGCGTACCGAGGCTGCTAGGCCACCACGGGCCCCTTAGTCCCCGGGAAAGAGCCTCAGTACAGCGTTCCCAGAGGGCATGGGCGCCCTCTGATGGTCAGAGGGTAGCAACAGGCCCGTGTCGCCCTCTGCTGGAAAACAGCTTGAACCTTCCAGAGCTCAAAACCCAGGAACCAAGGAACCTACCAGACCGACCTGCATGCTCTAGGACCTGGCTTCCCAAAAAAGAAACAGGAAGTGGGAGAGAGTCAGCCTGAGTCCAGAAGCTAGTGTGTGTCCAGTGCTAGGTTAGACCTTTGCCTGAGGTATTAGTCACCCAGTTTTCCTCACAGCTCGAAGGGGCTCTAGACAAGGGACACGAAGTGACCCTGGAAGCACTCCCCAAAGATGTCCTGCTGTCAAAGGATGTCACGGGCGCCGTCCTCTATTTCCTTGGGGCTCTAACAGGTGAGTGAGTTAAGGCAGTTTTCTCTAAGAATAAATCATGTGAATGACTCCCCCCCCCCCAATGAATGAATGAGTGGATGCCAGGTGGTTTGTGCTACAGTAGTTTATATACTCATATTTTCAAACTGGTTCCAGCTGGGTATGTAGTTCAGCAGTACAGCACTTGCTTAGCACACACAATGCTAAGGGGCCCTTGAGTTCAAGCTCTGGTACTGGAGGGAGAAAAAGAAATCAGCACCATTGGTTTCATTGCTAGGGATTCAGTTGGTATTTATTTATTTATTTATTTATTTATTTACTTAGCTACATATTTAAGCCTTCTGCATAGAGCTAAGTCCATCCCTCCCACATTGCTGCCCACCTGTCAGCTTTAGTTTCGGAGAGAGTAACTACTCAGGAGACTCAGTGAGTAAAGGCTCTCGCTGCCAAGCCTGACAACCTGAATTCAATTCCTGGAACCCGCAGGGTGGAGTACCACCCCTGCAGGCTGTCCTCTGTCCTCCACATACACATCATGGCGTGCAAATGAGTGTGCTTGAATGCACACACACACACACACACACACACACACACACACACACACACACACACAGTGTGGGGGAAAAGCCAGATATGGTGACGAACACCTTTAATCCCAGTACTTGGGAGGCAGAGGCAGGTGGATTTCTGAGTTCAAGGCCAGACTGATCTACATAGAGAGTTCCACAACAGCCAGAGCTACATAGTGAGACCCTGTTCTAAAAAAATAAACAAATAAATAAATAAAGTGGGGGGGGGGGAGAAACTTTCTGTCAAACGCCAAACCCAAAGGAAACCCATCAGCTATGACTCCCTTTACACCCTGGTTGTCACCGCTGTGGTGGCTCATGCCTATAATCCCAGCACTCAGGAGGTTGAGGCAGGGGGATCACTGTGGGTCTGAGGCCACCTTGGGTTACAGATCCTGCCTCAAAAACAAACAAAAAGCATGGCCTTGTCTTCTCCCCAAAACTGCAGTGAAAGAGTTTGGGTTTGCTGTTTTTTTTTTTTTTTTTTTTTTTTGGACAAGGTCTCAGTATATAGCCCTGACTGGCCTGGAACTCGCTACATAGAACAATCTGGCCTCCAACTCCAGAGATCCATATACCCCTGCCTCTGAAATGCTGAGATTAAAGGTGTATGCCACGTTATTCAGTCAAGGATCACAACTTTTATTTGATGGCCAGCAAAAGTGTGTGTGATAGAGCAGGAGTTCAACTGTGGATGGATGGATGGACAGATGGACCGGTGGACAGATGGATGGATGGGATTCATTGATTAGAGTGTGCAGGAATCCTGTAACTTCACTATTTGGAGTTTGTAGTTCCTTCTGTACCAGCAACATGTTTTTCTTTCTCTGCTTTTCCATCCAGTGTTAAGTGAAGCCCAACAGAAGCTTCTAGTAAAATCCCTGGAGAAAAAAATCCTGCCAGTGCAACTGAAGCTGGTAAGAACAAGCAACAGATGCCAGGGAGAGTTAGGGAGGGAGCAGCAAGAACCAGTGAGGACAGCCTTAGAGATCCCTGCCTTATCCTGGGAATGCTTGCCTTCTCTGCTCCCTAGATTTTTAGGGTAATCAGCCTGCCTTTGTTAGGAGAGAGAGAGAAAGAGAGAGAGAGAGAGAGAGAGAGAGAGAGAGAGAGAGAGAGAGAGAGAGAGAGAGCTTCCAGTACCTCCTTTTCAGGCTACTTTGGTCCCTTGCAGGTTGAAAGCACCATGGAGCAGAACTTCCTGCAAGATAAAGAGGGTGTTTTCCCGCTGCGGCCTGACCTGCTCTCCTCCCTCGGGGAGGAGGAATTGACCCTCACAGAAGCCCTAGTGGGGCTGAGTGGCCTGGAAGTCCAGAGATCCGGCCCCCAGTACATGTGGGATCCGGACACTCTCCCACGCCTCTGTGCCCTCTACGCTGGCCTCTCCATCCTTCAGCTGCTGAGCAAGGCTTCCTAATGCACCTTCTCTGCCCTCTTCCCTAATGTCTTCCCAACCTTACTGTGCCCTATCTATAACACTCCAAGTCACTACAGACCCTCCAGGCTGAAATGCCATGCCCATCATGCATGGTTACCAAATTCCACCTGCCCCACAGTCTATCCCCTTCTGTCCTCTACCTCAGCCACCCACTGAGCCCACCTCCTGATGCTTAAATCCTGAAGATACAGAATCATTCAAAAATCTTTGCGAATTTGAGCCATTTCATTAAGAAAAACAAACATCAACTTCCTAGTTGAATCCTTCCCACTTCAATATTATGTCAAAACTAAGACAAGCTATCTTCTGGTTTTTCTGTAAAAGGAATCATTCATTTGCGCCAGGTAAAGAAGCAGACATTGTCCACATGTACATGATTCTGCTCACACTGTCCTCAGGCTGGCTGGAAGATGCTCCGAGAACCCAGAGAATTAGGATGTAGAATGTCCGCTCTACATTGAGAAGATCATCAAAACAGCATGAGTTCATCAACAGCCCATGTTCTCTGGTCCTGGTTGAGGGCTTGGGAGAGGGAAGGGTCTAGAGGTATACGATATAAGCCCCAACCAAAACAACAATGAAAAGTTTTCAAGTTCGTTAAGTAAAAAATGCAGGTGATGATAATGAGACCCTGTGTCAAAACTTTTTTAAATTAAGAAAGAGGAAGAGGCTGGGTGGTGATGGTGCAAGTCTTTAATCCCAGCACTCAGGAGGCAGAGCCAGGCTGATCTCTGCGAGTTTGAGGCCAGCCTGGTCTACAGAGGGAGATCCGGGACAGGCTCCAAAACTACATGGAGAAAACTTGTCTTGAAAATACAAAAAAAATAAAAATAAAACAACAACAAAAAAAAAAAAGAAAAAGGAAGAGAGGAAGGAACTCTTTGAGGGTTGATCGACCTTTCACAGGAGTTGCCTAAGACCACCAGAAAACACAGATATTTACATTATGATTCATAACAATAGCAAAATTACAGTTATGAAGTAGCAACAAATATATATATATTGGTTTTTTTCGAGACAGGGTTTCTCTGTGTAGCTTTGCGCCTTTCCTGGGACTCACTTTTAGTCCAGGCTGGCCTCGAACTCACAGAGATCCGCCTGGCTCTGCCTCCCGAGTGCTGGGATTAAAGGCGTGCGCCACCACCGCCCTGCCAACAAAAATAATTTTATGGTTGAGGGTCACCACACCATGAGGAACTGTACTGAAGTGTGGAAGCATTAGGAAGGTTGAGAAGCACTATTTTAAATGATACTTTCTTTCTTTTGTTTTTTTTGTTGTTGTTGTTATTGTTGTTTTGTTTTGTTTTCAAACCTCAACTCAGGATGGGTGTGGGAGGAAACAGTACAGATAGGCTTGGCCTGTACATCTTAATCCCATCAACTTTCTAGGTTCCGATCACCCTTTGCCTAAAGCAGGCTTTGAACATCTGTCCCCAGTCTTATTTATTTGCACTTATTTACTGGGGGGTTGCATGTGTGCCATGCCATGCTTGTCTGGGTCAGAGGACGACTTTGGGGTCAGTCATCAGGCAGCGAGCAAAACCATCTCACCAGGCCACCTGTGTCTCCATCTCCTCCTCCCTCTGACATGTATGGATGTTTTGTCTGCGTGTATATATGTGTACCACTTGCATGCCTGGTGCTCTTTGAAGCCAGAAAAGAAGTTTGGATCCCTGGAGGGAACTGGAGTATAGACAGCTGTGAACCATCATGTGGATGCTGGGCTCTTCCAGGTCCTCTAGAAGAGCAGCAAGCACTCTTAACCTCTGAGTCATCTCTCCATCATCCTCCGACACACCCACACACGCACACACACCAATCTCTTTTAAAGCGTTTTATGAGTAGAATATATCTCCAAGCTCCCAGAGTCAGAATCCCCACTTCTTACCGACCTCCTTGCCCAGGTCAGTTCCTCCACACAAGAACTCATGACCAGCTGCCAAAAGCTTCACGTTTAGTCTTTCTCCCCGATCCTTGGCATCTTCCCAAATCGTCCGGTTCTACTGCATTGTTCTCTGCTGACTTGCTCATCCTTTCCTCGTGATGTAAACTTAATAGAGAGGTGAGCTAACATGTCAACTATCCAGCACGGTCACTTCTTTAACCCAAAGGATGAACAACAAAGCTGGTCTGTTTTCTCCCTTTACCGTTCTTGCCCACCTGCAGTCCAGGGTGTCATGCGGGTACTTTAATAAGTTTATCCCTGAGCTCATTAGAAACCTCTGTCCCCCTGTCCCCCAGCACTGAGGAGGGAGGGTGAAAGGACAGCTTGGAAGAACAGGTCCAGGTGTGTGCCCTAAAACTGGGGCACACAATTCTGTTTGACAAGCGACTTGCCTAATACAGAGAATTGTTTGTCACAATAGAATAAAAATAATACAAAAGGTAAGTAGGGATACCAGCAAGATGGCTCAGCAGCACTTGCTGCCAAGCCTCGTGACCCGACTTTAACCGTCAGGCCCCACATGGTGTGAGGAGAAGGGACTTCAGAAAGTTGTTCTCTGGCTTCCTCACATACACTGTGGGAAGAGTGGCCCCCAGCCAACTAAATAAATAAATGCAATTTTAAAAACCTATGCAGCTGCCAGGTGCGGTGGGGCAGATAAAGATCTAGTTGCCTTTTATCCGAGTGCTCTGCAGGCAGAGGGTGAATCTCTGTGAGTTACAGGCCAGCCAGGGCTACACAGGGAAACTGTTTCAAACAAACAAACGAACAAACACAAATGTCCTGAGGATATTTAGAAATACAAGAGATGGCCGGGCGGTGGCGGCGCACGCCTTTAATACAAGAGAATATAGTCAGGACACATTCTGTGTCTTCTGAATCCTTGTTAGAGCATGTGCTGAGCCAGTCCTGGCTGTTCACAGAGGAGATCAAGTTTCCATGCTGGAGTTTTGTTTGTGCTTTGAGAAACTGCCTCCCCACCCCCCTGCCCCGTATCTTCAAAACCAGTGCTGAAGGAATGGGAAGGCTTTCTAGTCCAATTTTCTTCCATTTGTGTACCCCACAAAGGACATCATTCTGCTCCCCATTCACAGGTGTCTAGATGTATAAAGGCCTCCCCAAACTGCTCCCCAGAGCCTCTTCCTTCCATCCCCAAACACACTGCATCCCAGAGCAGAACATAGAGTGTCAACTTTTTTCAAGGTCCCTGTGATGTGTGTGTGTGTGTGTGTGTGTGTGTGTGTGTGTGTGTGTGTGTGTGTCCGTGTGTGTCCCATGTTACAGCCCCTGTGTGGAGATCAGAGAACAACTTTGTGGAGTCAGTTCCCTCTTTCCCTCTTTCCACCTTTCCCCCTTTTCCAGGAACGGAACTCATGAGTCCTCAGGCTTGCAGCAACGCCTTTATTTACTAACTCACCTTATTTATCTGGTTGTTTTGAGTTTTTGAGAAGGTGGCAAACTCCCACACTATAGCCCAGGCTTTCCTGGAACTATGTAGCCCAGGCTAACCTGCAAGTAATGACAATTTTCTCAGCCTCCCAAGTGCTGGGATTAACTGGAGTGGAGCATAGTGCCTGACTGGGTACATTATTCTCTCTCTCTCTCTCTCTCTCTCTCTCTCTCTCTCTAGCATTTATTTATGGGGGTGAGCCACAGCATGCTTGTGGAGGTCAGGGAACAACTTCTGGGACTCAGTGGGACTCTTTTCTCTCCTTTTCTCATGGGACCCAGTAACAAGCTCATATCTTCCCACTTGGTGGCAAGTACCTTTATCCCCTGAGCCATTTAGCCGGCCCACATTATTATTATTACTATTACTATTATTTTGAGACAGTCTTTCTATGTAGTTCTGGCTATTCTGGAACTTGCTATGTAGACCAGGCTGGCCTCAAACACAGAGACCTGCCTCCCTAGTGCTGAGATTAAAGGTGTGCGAGCCACATCTGGCCCTACATTACATCCTTGAGCTGGGATTTGCAACAATCCTCTATGTACTGACCCTGAGCCGTATACAACGTGGACTCCTATTATTAAATTTGACTAATTCTACACAATACACCCTCCCCCATCACACTCCCAGGTTGCAGAGATGGTATGCCTTATATTCAGCACTATCCAAAAATTTGACAAGGAAGTTCGGATGCCACAGGGGTTGAGCTCAGTTCAACTTAATGGCCTAGCTGCAAGCACACAAGCTCCCTTTCTTCCCGGTGCTGGAAGTATCTGGCGGGCGTTGAGAGCGCGAGCCTGATGGGTTTCACAAGGGACCTGACCTGCGCGAACTGGGAGAGCTTGCGGGGCAGGGAAGGAAAAAACAGCCCGGCAACTTGTGATGTCATCCGGATCTGCGCTCCGATAGGCCCTGCCTACTTACGTAGTTAGAGTCTGGGGTAGCCCGGGTTGGAGCCTAAGGGGACCTCTCGCGGACATTCAGAGATACGCACTCGAGAGGAAGATAAAATCACCATTCCTAAGCCCCACAAATTCTTGCGGACTCCTCCCCCTTCCTAGAAGATCCGCCTTCATCGTGCACCTCGGCTGTTGATTTCTTTCTCCTCCCCGAACTCGGCCATCTGCTCGCCGGGCCTGGCATTTCCCAGAAGCCCCAGCGCCGGGAAGGAGTTTGCAGCTGCTCGGTCATCGTGCGGCCCGACGCGAGCCCGCGCTGGTGTGCAGGCCCGGCTCTGTGCCTGGTCTCTGGTGTGAGGGTTTAGGCGAGGCCCCTGCCTCGGTCCCCGGACTAGGCCGCGACCCCGGGCGCCATGAAGCAGGAGGGCTCGGCCCGGCGCCGAGGCGCCGACAAGGCAAAGCCGCCGCCGGGAGGGGAACAAGAACCGCCGCCGCCCGCCCCCCAGGATGTGGAGATGAAAGAGGAGGCAGCAGCAGGGAGCGGCTCAACGGGGGAGGGAGACGGCAAGGCAGCGGCGACCGAGCACTCCCAGCGAGAGCTGGACACTGTCACCTTGGAAGGTACGGGAGCCCGCGTCCGGGACGTGCCGCGATCACGGGTGACAGCGGCCACGGTGATGCGAGTTCTCCCTGGGACCTCTGCGCAGCCTCCGCCTACCTCGGTTCCCGGTGATCGGTCCATGGGGCTGGGGTCGGAAATGCCCGCCCTATCACCCTCGACCCCCGCCGCCGGCGACTGAACCTGTTCTCCAGGCTGCGGACTGCTCTCACACTCCCGCTCCTCCTCTGGGGTTGCATCTTGGTCTCATCGAGCCTTTTCTTCTTCAGTTCTCCCCACTGATCTACTCCATG